GTTTACTCCTGTTTTCACCTCAAGATATTGTACGCTACTTATTTTTCTTCTAATTTTTTACTGTTACTTAGTTAATATTAAATTTATATTTATATCTTTTAATTAATTTATATTCATATATTGTTATTGTAATTGTAATTGTAATTCGTACTACTTAATATTTTTCGCCGAAGCCATATGCATTAAAAAAAAATATATATATGTGTAAATGTTTGTCAATTACGCCAAGTCGTCTACAGTCTCTGAGAGTGCGTGCTGCCGACGTCAAGACTTTGAAACCAAAAATAAGTAAATAGTAGTATATTATATTACCCTACCAAAAAATAAACAACCCATTCAAAAACAGTTGAGTCTGAGTAATCATGCTCAGATAACACATCATCTAGATCCCAACAATCTTCTTCAATCATTTTGTTTGTTTTTTCCTTTAGATGATTAATTTTATTTGTTTTTTCTGAAGTATTTGCAGGATCATTTATTATTTCATTTAGATCTTTAACCGACATTACTGGAATTGCATCTATTTAAAATATGAACGACCAATTTGTAACATATTAAGTAGTTTATATAATATAAATTTGAAAAGATATTATAAAATTAATTTTAAATTGATATTTTAACCTTCAATTATAGTACAATTTCCTGTTTTAGGAGGTTTGATAACAGAATAAACAGACAGCGTGCGGTACAGTTGGAGAAATGTTGGTGCTGTAGGATGGTCATTTGGACCTGCTACCTGTCTTATAATGCCGAAGAATTTCTTAAATATAATATTGTAAGTATTCATAATTTGTTCACTTGAGATTAATAAGTTGTATAATAACAATGAATATACATATTGCAATGTTATATACATTTTGAACTATAAATTGAATTACTTCGAATGTATCTTAATTGAATTTTGCAGTCAAAACATAGTTAAAACCACATTCTTATAAAAGATATTCCACTAAATGTATCGTAGATTTTAAGGAGATCCTAAGTTCCTCGTAGATATTGTTATAAAAATCATTTGCACTGATAAATCATTTTTCTAAATGTAATTTCCAGTTATCTAACCAATCCACAGCATTTTTTAATGTCTAAAATTAAACATCGATTTATTTTTATCATGCTCTAGCCTCTATATACAATTTACAACAGTTTTTTAGATGGTTAATTAGTAATATACAAAGTTGGACTTCATTTTTAAATAAAAAATCTATACAATATTAATATACTACAAACATAGACAACACACATGCAATAGATAAACACAAGCAATAAACAAAAACCTATAATCGTGACTATTTTTTCTGATCTCTTCAGCTTTATGTCATCTATTCAATGCATCAAACATATCGTTAATTGTGGTGGTAAATTTAACGGTTTCTTCAGAATCTTTAAAACCATCATAGTTTTTATTTTTGTATACATTTATACCTACCGCCATGGATTTACTAAAAACCTATTTAAAATTATTCAACCATAAAACAAATTTGCCATTAAAAATTGGAAACTATTTGTATTTTATTGAATGTAAACTATTATACATAACAACTATAGATACTTATAATACTAATATACTATACAAATTTATAAATCCTACCTGGACTGCATATTTAACTTTCATCTTTGAAAGATTATTCAGTACAAAATGGTGTTTAGTTAACTTGGGACATGTCGTTGTGACGCGTCGCTATTATTTTTTTGTTATATTCAATTTATTAAATTAGGGAACGTCGACTTCTTCCCCCCCCCCTCACAACTGAGAAAAATCCTAAAAAAAAAATTGTCGAGTTTTTAACTTTCAACGTTAACTTTCTATTACTTAGCAAAATATTGTCGAATAAATTCAATTACTATAAAAACTTATGGTTTTGATGTATAATAAATTAGGATAAGTAGAATAAATGTTATCGAACGTCTAGATGCGAAAAAAAGTTGAAAATCAGAAAAACATATTGAAAGAGTACAGTTTTACTATTTTTGAAGATTTCGTAGTTTTACTTATTTTAAACAATTGCAATAGTTAAACCAAGTGTGTCAATGGTTGTCTTACGACTTGTTGAATGAAATCTGTTATATTGACCGATACAATACAATGTAAATATGTTTTACAGTTTGGTTTTGGCGAATTTATTAACATAAGCAGTATGGTAATTTTTCGTTAAGACTAACATATTTATTTAATTCCGAAACAGAGTATAAAGTTTTTATAAAAATCGTATATATTATAATATATGTATACAACTAATGTGCAGTAAATAATACAACTGTGCTACACTACAATGTTAATTTACAATTCAAATCAAAATACATACATATTCCACTTGAATTAGGTCAACAACATTTAGCACAGTAGTCTCCGCTTTTTGGAGTGTTTATATGCTATACTATAATATTTATTACAGGTGTAAGACACTCATTTTCTTGGAAAATATAAATATATTTATTATTATTATTATTATTATTATTATTATTATTATTATTATTATTATTATTACTATACGTAAAACAAGTTTGTTCTTCGTTTGTCCAAAATGGAACATATTTTTTTTAATTTTGTAATATGTTACCTTTGCAAAGTCATAGTAAATGGAAATTAAAACGGTTAAACTTTGTAATATGAGACCGTCCGTGATTTAGGTTTCATCCTTTTTTTGAAATATTTCCCCAGTGGCTCATATCCAAAAAAAATTATGCAAGGCACTAAAGAGTAAAGCTTCTTGAGTTTTTTAGTCATTCCACTCAAATCTTTAATATTTTTCTATCCTTTAAACTCCCTTATTGTTCTCTTGTCCGTCTGATCTTTGAGTATGCCAGTGTGCTAGGACCAAGCTACCGCTAATGCCAGCGCCATGATCGAAAGAGTTCAGAGAAAATTCTTACACTCTTACTCTTACAGGTTTGATATCTCTTCTCTACTCTCTGGATGACTGCTCTACTGTCATTCTAGCTTTTGTCATTACTTGGCTCTTGTCTGCTTCTACGTCTATCTTATACACGCAAATCTTTTGTTTATTAGGGAAAAGCCTAAAAACATTCTTCGTTCTTATAAAATTGAATATTGAACTGTAAATATTATAAATTATCTCTCTTTGGGCAATAAATAGTCTGGCGAGAGCCTACCGTTTTCCTTCTCATAGGTTACCAATTCAGACCTAAAAACTTTCTCCCGGTAAAAATAAATCATAGGTATGCAACAATAATAATAATAGCTCTTAAGCAACAAAATATGAGTTTATAACTGTGAGCAAACACAGTTTATTTTAGAAAAACCATAACATAATATAACAATTTGGATGTTAGTACAATATGTAAAAATTATTTTTAATATTATAGAAACATACATGTGATACTAGTCTAAAATGTTGATGGTTTACGTATCTCAAATCGTGGGATACTGGAATCGTCGAGTAGCTGTACATTTAATTCTTTTATTTTAGTATCCGTTTTATTGACATTTACTTGCCAATATATACCCTTAAATGATCTGTATTTTACAGCATTCCCGTCCTCATCATGTACTACACAAGTATCATTATCATTCTCTTCATGACCTACAGAAACTAACAGTATTGAAGCCGTTTTTGAACTAATCCACAATGATATCAACATACAAAATTTATAAACAGAATGCATCTTGTCATACGAAATCAGTTCAGCTAAAAATTAAGAAAATAGTAGTTAAAAATTGCCAAATTCAGCTTACTAGTAACTATTTCACTTTATTGTGCAAGACAAATTTACTAAACGTAAATAAAACAACTTATACAATGCATCACTATCAAGCATGATGGTTCGATATCCATACTATACAGTATAGATACATTGATAGTCCAGTCAATCATTCATGATTGACTGGACGATAACCATTTGTGGATAGTTATTTTTAAAGTTATTAACAGAAAAAGAGGAAGGATGAAGTATAGTTATTATCATCTGCATGCATTTATCTACGGCATTTGAATTCTCATCCTAAATTCGGAACTTCATTAAAAATACTTTTAAAGTAATTATCCAAAACTATTTTCAAAACTATTAAAGCCTATCAAAATTTTCAACAAAGTGTTCTTGTTGCTAGAGGCTAGAGCTCCAGAACAAATTATGAAAAAATTAATATGTTGTGAGAAATATTGCAAAATAACAATAATTAAAGTGGTTCAACACATAAAAATTACAAATTTGTAGTTATTTAAAAATAAATTGAGCAATAACAAATATTATAGTAAAAACATAAATCCAAAAACCCCCTTACGCACTAAAGTTGTGTTTAAAAAATGTGTAATATTGAAAAATAACAAAAATTAAAATATCTCCAACAACAAAACCTCACATTTTTAGTAGTTAAGAAAAATTGGTTGTGTTATTCATATTAAATCACGCTGAAGAAATAGATATTATTAAAAATGTCGATTTATATTCACCTAATGCTTGGGTAAGTACATTTCGTATAGCTTTTCCAGTAAGAACTCTTCTCGACTTTCCAAGTTCGTTCAATTTATTAATTGCTCTACCTGCATAAATATACATAAACTTGAAAAACTGGGTTGAAAATATAATATTTATTAATATATTCGCATATTTTTTAATTTTCTAGCTTAACGTCTTAATTAGTACAAAAACAGTGGGAAGAAACGTAAAAAGATATGATAAAAAGAATATTAGCAGCGTTGGTGGAGTCTAGAAGGGGTGCAAAAATAAAATGGAGTTCGATTTGTTAGTCCGAAGATCATCCATGATTAGGTTACAGAAAGTGTGGACAGCGATGTAGTCGTGAAGAGGCTGCTGTATTTTTAGTAAAAAGACGACATAGGCTAAAAATGTATTCTGTATTTGCTAAATTGTTATCTGAACCATTGTTTGGTAAGATTGCTAAAAGACTACTCCATATCCTAGAACCCTTAAAAGAAGTCTCCTCAACTAAAAGTTTGCTTAATTGTAATTATTGTGTGAATAAAAGAATATATAAAGCAAATTTTATCTTTCAAACAAGCCGTAAGCTCTATTTAATACTAACGAGTAGCTTTGTAAATTATTTTGTATTTATCATCATGTACAGTAACAGCTGTAACAAAAATATAAAACAATTATATAGTAAATCAACACTGGTTGTAACTTTTATCTATAACAGTCACTCGAAAAATACCATTATTTCAACCAATTAATTAACGCAAAATCTGGTGTTACAAAAAAAATATGGCTTTAAGGCTATGTTAGCTACCGCCATTAAGTGATCTTTAAACTTTAGAATACAACAAAAAAAGTAATCGTGAAAGAATTATGCGGTTTGTTGGAAAATATCACAATATGACATTTTTTAACATAAAATGGCAGACCAAGAAGGTAAGTCCAGTCAAGAAAAACATTAAGTTTAGTATGTTAAAGGCAACAGTTCACAGATAAGGTAATACTAAAAAAATTATTTATGTAAAAAAATCAGAAACCGCTTCGTTAGCTTAATTGTATTGTTAAAAATTGATTCACGCTGTTCAACATTTTAATGTAAATATAATATTAGTAATATGTTTTAAGTCTCCCAAACTAAAATTTTATTTTATTATAATTACTGTGTGGACAAATGAATATATATAAAACTAAATATATATCTTTCAAATAAGCTAAAAGTAATATTCAATTCTAACGAAAAACGTTGTAAGTATTATTTCAAACAGGGGTTCGGAATTCGTTCCTATTTGACTCATTTCTCTTTTATGTTCCGAAACAAATACCCGGAACTCGTTCCTTAAAATATTCGTGCCGGAACTGATACCTGGAACTCGTTCCTTTGATATTTGTTCCGGAACAAATAAAATGTAATTGTACCTTGTCATTATTAATAATTTATTAATGGAGCAACATGTATTTGTTCTACGTATTATGTTGTTTCGTTCGAGTTTAGTAAAAACAAAAAAATTGTGAAAAATTGAGATCACATTATATAACAACAATATGAAAAAAAAGTTAACTTCTTATTAAACCCTATGAGATATTGAGTGGTCCATGATAAAATAATCACCCTGTATATATCATGTAAAAAAATTATACTGTAAATTACCCATATATTATAGCCCGTATATATCTAAAAAAGTATTAAATTAATATAAGTTAAGTGTTTTTTAACTTTGCAAGTTTAATTTATGATTAAAGGACTGATGGTTTTGATGGATTAGTTGGATACATTTTTCTTAGTATGTATAAATGTATTATAATAACTCTATTAACTTTCACCATGTATATACCGGGTGATTGGTTAACTATGGACCACTCAATATCTTAGAAGATATTAGACTTTTTTAATTATTTTTTTTTTGTACTATTATAGTTATTAGGTGGGACAAATTTAATGTATTTTTCAAAATTTTAACACCATCCCTTATGCGTTAAAACCATATCAACTTTAGATTTTTAAATGGTAACCCCCAATTTTTTTTTGGTGATCGTGTTTATTTTTTTTTAATTTAATTTTAGGCGTAAAAACTAGCTAAATCAGACAAGTACTTTTAAAGTTATAGCTTAGTACTACAATATTATAATATTGGCCTATATGAGATGCTTTTATAAGTTTTACAGCTAAAGAAAAAAATCGTTTATCGCCGGATCTTACGTTTCACAAAATAAGATTGATTAACGATACGGTTGTAGATTAAAGTTAATAGTTGACGGTCGTCGGTCACAATGAAAACGAACTAATAATAAATCTATAACAATATTATATGGGTAATGTCTTCTTATCTGTTTTTTCTGTAGTGTTCCTAGCGGTGCGGTGTAGCTGTACGTATTGAATATTAGGCATTAGCTGCTGTTAACAAACAATATTATGAGCCCTAGTAAATATTTTTTTTTTTCAATTTCAACCATAGGTTACCGTGGTCTAATCACGGTCTTATATAGAGTATATACCGTGGTTCTACCAAAACGATTCGTTACTAGTGTAGATTAATATCAAAACAGAACAAATTATTATAAAAATACGACTACTTGAAAACTAATAAAAAAGTTCATTATTCTAATTTTTCAATTATTATGGTTATTTAGCGTCTTAGTTTTTACTTTAAATATTTAGCGTCTTGGTCTTAATAAGTGTTACTTGTACTGGTGTCTTATCTAGTCAAATTATTAATTCTGTTAGTGAAAATATTTTTAAAAAAACTTTAATAAATAACATTCTATTTTTTGTTTTTTTAGTATAATGTTGTATTACATACAGTTAAAAGATAATATGTACAGAATATATACAGAAATAAACCAAAACTAAACTTAATATGTACAGAAACTATTTTAGCATTTGTCTGAACTGGTTATGATAGGTACTTAAGATGTCAAACAACATCTTTATAAGGCATCTAGCGTGTTTCTTAAAATGTTTAGATAACAAAGGATTCCATAAGAAATACGTTCATCCAATACTTGTGCACTAAAATAAATTTTCATTTTTATAATTTAAAGTTGTAACGCGTCAATTTTAACTATTTCTAGTTCAGTATTTTTAATTATTAAAAGCTGTATTCATTTATTAACTCTTTATTATATTACACTACTATACTATACTAGTATATTATACTGTATATATTTCATAGTATTGACTATTCTTACTTATTTTAATGTGTTCATAATATGAACAGTAAAAGTATGTTTTTTATTTAATAAATTATTGTTTTTTTCGTTGTACGAGGTATAAACAAAAATTTAGAGTGACAATGAAAAAGTACAATTTTTTTTGTTTTTGTATGGCTTTTTTAACAGTCATAAGCTTAAAATTCAATAATAATATTACTAACAAACATTTAAATACTATATTATGTTATGTTTATTATGATAATAGTAAAATAAAAAAACAAGTAACAAGATAAATAATACACTTATAAGATACGAATAAACATTTTTATTTGCTAAATCATATTGTAAAACTAAGACTAAATAAAATTAACATATCTATAATTAACTTGTAAATAATAGAGGTACAACATATTGCTGTATATAGTGATGTATTTATAGGAAGTTACCTTGGACGGTAAAGTTTGTTTGATAATTTCCCACTAGAAGAAATCCATCTCCATTTACATATTTAAGTTAAAAAATATTTATAAGTATATTCATTCAATTTACTTTTTTACACAGTTAACATTTTTTTTTTTCTATTTTGTGTTTTATAATTTTATTTACTTTATTACTTATAAAAACTTAATCGTAAACCACTAGAAAGTTGTCAATAAATTCTGTAATAGCTAATGCCAAAACTATGCCATCATGAAAATAATTTCAAGATTTGGATTAAGACAATAACATATTTTAGAAATATTAACATTCTCAGCAGCATTTTAGATTAAATTAATATTAAATAAAGAATTCATCATTAATAATTAATAAATAATGTATAATAATTATAGATATGTTAAGTATATGTGTGTTTAAAAACTTTATGTCACTTTTAAAATGATAAAGTACTTTTAAATTATTTTATTGAATTACATTTTTAGCTGAATAACTAAATATATATAGTTGTCTAATATTTGATTTGAACTTGTGAATCCATCTTATTCTTCTTACTGACTTAATGGAAAACCGTTATCTGCAATAGTGTGCCACAGTAACTAAAAAATAATAATAATAAAAATAAATTGTTAGAGATGAATTCATAAAAATTAACTAAATTATTGCAAACTGATGATCTTATATATTTTACCTTAAAATAAAACACCTATAAATTTCCTGAAAATTGAATACCACAACATTTGACAATGTATTGATGGAATTAGATTAGACTGATTGACTACAATAATATAATACACCAAATTTGACGTTGGTAGTAGTGTAGTTGTAGACAATAACAAATATCAATTTAAGTTGAGATAGTCCATATTAATATTGAACATACTGAAACATATAATTAAAAAAATTAAATAAGTTCCTTAGATACTTAAATAATTATATGGTTAAGCAACAAATATCAGTATACACATATATTTTTTATAATTATACAAGTATGATAATTTTTAAGTTAAACGTTAATTTTTAAGTAACACATTTTAATTAAACATATTAAGTATGATAAACATAAGTAATCCAAAAAAACTTATTATGTAAAAACATTTTATATGTTCATGAATAATTAAAAACGATTAATTATATTTTTCTAATAAAAAAATGTACTTATACAATACACCTATATCAATAAATACATTATCTTACCTATTATTGATTCAGTAAACGATGATTGAGGATTCAATTTTTTCATAAAGAATTTTATACTTTTTCTTTGAATTCAGATACCAATATGTTAAAACACAAAACTACACATTTATAAGTTTCTCAGAACAAAGACATAATACTGTAAAAATAAAAGTTTTAATTAAAATATCATCAAGCATAATTCAAATTACTCTATTTATTTTAAATAACATATTATTATTATAAGTACCTTTAATTTTGATATTTGATGTGCATACATTTTATAAGTAAGGTTATAGGTTTTATAGACTTGTCACTTGAGCAAAACTCCATCTTGGTATTCACATTGATTATGGATATTTAATATCAATGTTATTATTTAAAACACAATAAATGTTGACAAGTTCATAGATCTAGTAAGTTATGATACTATATTATTATAATATACTATGAAATTAAGACGTACAAATCGCATGAATAAACAAAATGTGTCAAATTAACCAAAACATATAATTGCTAAATGCTGGAAAAATATACACAAGGTATTGATAACAAATTAAACATACCTACTATTTTACAAATAAATGTAAAAGTGTGTAGTGGTGGTATATTATTTGTCAGTCGATATAGCGGTTATCATTATTATTTACTATCGGTGAATTATTTACCTAAAGTAAATAGTGTTTGGTACGGTTATGATTTTTAAACGCTACTATAGCTATTGTCAAAGTTAATTGTCAATAAATAATAACAGAGAGCAGTCAAGTGTCACCTTAATATGTTAGCGTCTCCAAGATATTTAACTTATTTTTTACACTCCCTTTAATTTTAAAACTGTGTAGCTCGTTAACTACTCAATCGATTTACCTAGTTTTTACGCCTAAAATTAAATTTAAAAAAAATAAACACGATCATCAAAAAAAAATTGGGGGTTACCATTTAAAAATCCAAAGTTGATATGGTTTTAACGCATAAGGGATGGTGTTAAAATTTTGAAAAATACATTAAATTTGTCCCACCTAATAACTATAATAGTACAAAAAAAAAAATTAAAAAAGTCTAATATCTTCTAAGATATTGAGTGGTCCATAGTTAACCAATCACCCGGTACTATATACATTTATGTACAATGAAAATAACATTAATTGTTATATCAAATGCATTAACTATAATATGTTGGTAAATGAATTAACATTTAACTTACATAAATGTGTCTATTGTTTCTAAAATACCACACACAAAGGCTGAAGTAACAAAAAAAATGTGCACCTTCAATAAACTCGAATGAAACAACATAATACGTAGAACAAATACATTTTGCTCCATTAATAAATTATTAATAATGACAAGGTACAATTACATTTTATTTGTTCCGGAACAAATATCAAAGGAACAAGTTCCGGAACGATTACAACAGGGAGTTATGAACGAACACGTTCCGGAATTAGTTCCGAACCCCTGATTTCAAATGACAATCGGATATATAACAGAAAGAGATTGCTTTGTAATTACTTTGGTTTTCATCATCAAGTGGAGGAATATCTGTAAAAATAATATAAAAATTGTTTATGGTTAATCAACCTGGTTTATTTTATTTACCCATGACAGTGGCAGCTAATCAATGTCAAATATTTGAGTATTAACATAAAGCCGACCCCCCCACGCTCTAGAAAATAGTTTAAATATTGAAAAATAACAAAAATTAATGAGTCTCCAAAGAGAAAAGCCATAATTTTATCATTTAGTTAAAAAAATATTGATTGTGTTATCAATTATGAAACACCTGTAAGAATACATGTTATCAGAAAAACAATACCACTCAAACTCTATACTTAAATACTTACCATATATTTGGTCAAGTAAATTGTCTAAAGCTTTTCCAGTAAGATAAGTTCTTGTTTTTCTACGTGTGGTCTTTCCTATAATTTCATAACCTGCATAAATTAATATATTACCGTATTAATAATACAAAAATTATTAATATATTCGTATTTATGTTTTTATTTTGAAATTGTACGCCCTGATGTTATATATTATGTATCCTCAACTAAATTTTAGTTTAATAAAAATATAATGTAAATAAAATCAAATAAAGAAAGTTATATCGTTCAATCAAACTATAACTTTTTTTTTAATGAACGATTAAATTTGTATTTACTTTGGTTTGGGTAGATTATAGGAATACCTGTAACAAAAATATAACATCATTATACAGTTGATCAAACCAGGTCGTTATATTTATCCATAACATTCGTTTTGAAACGAATAAACGGTATTTATTTTACCAATTATTCAATGCAAAATAGATTATTAACATTAAATTATTCTCTAGCAACGTTTAAATAAATACTTTCTGCTCACTGAATTTTTTTTGCCGCAATCACATTTCATGATGCTTATTGGCCTTTAAAAATTGTTTTCTAAAAAATTGAACGTTTTATATTTACCTAAAAATTTAAATAATTTCTGTTGCAGAGTATGTGTTTGTGTATTTATTGAACCTAAATTTGAAAAAAATGAAAACTTGTAATAGAAACCAATGTTGTACAAATAGTTCTATACAATGCATTATAAATTATAAATTTATAATGTATAAAAGTGGTAATTGATTACCTTGTAGAAATTCAAAGTTGCCAGTTAGTGCAAGTTCTGAAATTAAAGCAAAAACCTTGTATACTTAATGATTATTATACGATTGTGTGGAAATATTTCCATAAAATTCTAATAAACATATTACCCGGTACAGTGAACATGTCAAACAAAAATCCTGAAATTAACAATACAAAAATGGTATTGAATTTAATTTTTTATTCTATCATAAACTAAACTAAAGCAAAGTTAAAAAAAAAATAATATGTGTATAAGTAATTTAGAACAAAATGCTTAGTTCAAGTTAGAAATCTAATGAAAATACAATAGCTGTATTAAATCGTATTGGGGAGTAGAATAAGATAAAATAAAATATATGTAATCTAATCATTTTCCCTAACCCTTTCACTGTCGTGGACGTACTTTTACGCACTAATCAATTAAAGAAGTCCGAAACAGGTTACCATTATTAAAGTGATGGTTGGGACGTGTTGCAGTTCGAAAAACTGAGTTGCGTTTTTGACAAACACAACGGCAGTAGAAGGGTTTAAAATTCTTTTTTAATGTTATTCGTATACAATTATTATATTAGCAAGATTTGTTTTTATGAAAATAAAATTATTATTACTCATTGGATTGCAATTTGTATGTACAATGTTTTTAATTGCATGCTCCAATCCATCTAGAACAAACAAATAAAAGTTTAAACTAAAGAAAAGTTCCGAATAAATTCAAAATGTGTATAAAAAGCAGAAAATAAAATTACACCATACATTAGGCAACTCCCCCAGTTCCCTAATTAGTCCATTCCTGGGGTAAAGTATGCTCATTGTAGAATACAGTGACTTTCAGGGCGGCCCGTGCCTAAGGGTGATGGAACACAGACCCAATTTAAAATATAAAACTACCACTTTAAGAGGATACCACTCCGCCCATTTATTAGGAAGTTAGGTGTTAGCATTATTTTTATAGTCTTAACTTAAAAACACAGATAATGTTCTAAACTAGTATAGATATCTTTCTTGTAAGACAATTTTCTTAATTGCTGTATTATAAAAGCCAACTCATATTTTAAAACCGTAAAGATGCATTTGGGGAATCCTAGTAAATACGAGTACAAACATTTGTTAGTTTATTTTTAAAACTTAAAAACTTTTACAGTGTTTAGCTCACTGTTACTATATTATATTATTTTTGATGTACAAATAGTTTGATAAGTAGGCCAACATACCAAAACAATTACATATTAGTATATTAATTATTATTATCTTACTTCCTTTATCGTCGTTAATTTCAGAAGCTTTTTGAATTTGCAAGTCTGTAGTAAATGTTTTTAAAAAATAGTTTTATACAAATATAGTAAAATTTTTAAATGTACTGTGTTAGTCTGTATGATTATAAAATCTTACTTACTCAGAAGTTCAACTATATTTATATATTCTGCTGTTAAGAAAAGTAAAATATTATTTTTTTTAGAATTTCATCTTACTTGTGTGGGTAAATACGAAAATAAAATACTTACTTATACTTATTTTAGCCATAACATTTACGCAGATAAATGATAATAAAATACAGGAAATTTTCATTTTTATCTAGAAACATTATTAAATATATATATGCATTTTTTAAAGCTCAGGCGCTCCAGGAAAATATATTATTTGTTTTTAATTTTATTTTTCGAAAAAAATTCGTATTTCAAAAATGTCTAACCACCAATAAGGTATAGTGTTCTGGTTATACCTTTTATTTTCAGAATTTACCATTGTTTTTTGTATTTTTTAATGAACTTAAAATATAAGATAAAAAGTTACAAAATCAAAAAATAAAATTTTCATAATCATTGCACATTTTAAATTTGAGTACATTATATTTCGGCAATACAATAAACTAAAAACATATTTTGCAGCCTATCGTTGCTAATTTATTTGCAAAGCTTTTTTTTGTATTGATGCCGAGCTAGTGTTCCTATATCTGTTTTTTTTTTGTAGCAGCAAATACGACTACATGTTTCAGTACGGCCCGATTAACCTTAAATATCCGAAATTTTTAGTGACTTTGTTAGGTTAAAAGTCGTAAAAGTAGACTTCTTCACTCCCACAAACGTCAACTTTTTATAACTTAGCGAAAAAGTGTCGAACTGAAACAAAATTGTACTAGAATATAGATCAGGCATGCCCTAATACACAAACATCCTCAAATCCAAATTTCAATTTTAATCCTACACTCCTTCGCATGAATATAATTTTTAAAAAAGGCATTTGGTTTTAAAATCTATTTTAAAAAATATTGTACAAAGAAACAGCATGGACTCATATTTTTAAAATATCGAATACAAAATATAATATTGATGTAAATGGATAAGCCGGACAAAAAGAAGGTGTTTTTGAAAAAGAAAGAATAACCAATATGTTTTTTGAACTAAAATAAAATGTAGATTTTTATTATTAAACTTATACACTTGAATACGGATGACACTTTGAAAATAAAACTTAACTTTTAAGAGTTTCTGTAATTACAACAGCTTCTGCTATAATGTACTACTGAATACCGACTGACTAACTAGGCGATTTGCTCGTGTCAACCGACGGGCCCAGGACACCCGACACCAAAGGTTTCGACATAACCACGACGAGACTTGCAATCGCATATTAAAATTAATGCTACATAGAGCATTCCAAACTATTATAAAATATGCTACACTACATCCCTCCCCGCAAAAGATTGGACAGTCCAATAAATAATTATAATTTTCTTAACTTATGGGGGCACGGGTTACAATACCGCTATTCCGTGCTTATTATCTTATATCTAATTATATTACTTACTATGATTAAACCTAAGGGGTACATAATTAAATATATGTTTAGGTATATTAATTTCTAACTAAATTGACGATTCCGCGACTACGTCTCGGGGTTGGTACACAACAGGTTTACGCTTTTTGCACTTGGCAAAACAGTATAAAGTAAAACATAGAGTGAGTAGAGAAAATTACAATTGTTAAGGTGAGAATAAAATGGTTTGAGAAGGTATGAGAGTGATTTGATTTGCATACAAATTACATGTTTGGTAAGTGTTACCTGTCGTGTACCATCTAATCTTATTATACGGGGTTCACCGTTATTACATTTTATGGTTACGCTTTCATTTTTGGCCAAAAGTAACCAAGTGTTAGTTTTGGACAAACGATTCAACATAGCGGATTTCATGGTTATATAGTGGATATTACAAAGAGTTGGTATAATTGGTCGTGTGTTACAATTCTAGATGTACATTTGTTACAATAATTTGTTTTAAAAAATCAAGTTCTTACTTTAGCATACTTCATTATTTAACATTACCAATCTCAAAAAGAATGTAATAGTATGATTAATTACTTATTTATTGAGCTGAAATTTTAGTTAATTTTTATACTGTTATTAATATTTGGGTATTGAACAAGTTACTTTACAGTAACTATTGGTTAAAATAATAAGTCAATATGTACCTTTTAATGTGCTTAACGTGTAACAAGCTCTGTAACTAGTGATGATAATATAAAAATAGTAAAATCTATCCTTAATTTGATTAAACAAAGAAAAGATAGAAAAAACTTATCGTATTCCCTTGATCAATTAAAAAGAAATGTTTTTATTTATAATATTTAGTTGCTATTTTTCTGTTAAAATTAGTTTATATCGGTTTAGAATTAGTTTCCATGCTTGCTTTGATATTACCCGGATTTTGCATTATGGACATTTTGTCATATGCATGTCATTGAAATTAGTTCGACATCGGTGTTGACTAATTAAAGAGTTAAAAGCGACCAGATTTTAATTTTTTAAATATTAAATATTGTATAATTTAAAAAGATTTAATATTTTTTGTTCTGTGAAGTATTAATTTTTTAGCATGTTAAATAAAAAAACTAAAAACAAGTACTTGACACTTATGTATTTTTTATTTCTTTTTCTTTTTTTTTTACCACTGAGGTAGGCATTTAGGATAAATTTGTGTATTTGCTATTATGAAAAACATGATACTAAATTGGTATAGAACACTTCTTGGATCAATTACTTAATGATGATAGCGTTATTAGGTGGGTAAAAATGTATGATAATGACCAAATATTTATTTTGGTAAACTGGTACCTATTAATTAAGTAAATACATAGTAGTTGAGTGTTGACTTATTGTCTAAGTCTGTTTTTTTTTGCTATTTATTTTTTAATGTCTCGTTACGAACAATATTTAATAAGCGTAAATGAAAAATCTTCAGACCCAATGTCTGAAACGGACTATTATGAAAGTCTCTTTAATGAGTTGGAAGACTTAAAACAAGTTTGTTATAAATACTCATTTATAA